AGTTAGCCTAACCACGTTTTTGTTACTCAACAACCTGAATTCGACAAAACTAATCTGACTATTTTCTACAAATGCAATATTACGATCTTGCAGTTTTCTTAAATGGTACCTCGGCTTGTTTGATCGAATATATCCTGAGGTGGTCCATGAGAAACTAAAATATCACAATTGTGAGGAATCATGTTCCACAATTCCCTGGTATTTCTTGAATGTCGCTCATATTGAAAACCACCACAAAATTTGGGTGTATATGGACAGCCATAGATATTAATACCACGCACATTACAACTCTCGTTTTCCAAATAGATTATGCCACTACCGGTGTGAGAAAATTGTCGACGTCGTGTCTCACTATCATATTGAGCATCATCTAAATCAATTCCATCCATATTTCCAGCTATTAATATTTTGTATTCAAAGTTGTTTAAAGATTTCAGCCAGGAGAGCACCTTTTCAACTTCTGCAGGTGATCCATGATTACTAAAGTCACCTGCGTGGATCAGAATGTCACCTTTAATTTGTCGAATTTGATGATCAAAGTGTGGTGCACTGTGTCCATTGTGAGTATCAGAAATACAAACGATTTTAACCACATCGTTGCGTTGTCCTGATGGTTCATGAAATGATCCACCATCAATCGTATTTGATGTGAAATGTGAGTGATGCATGGTGATAGGCATTGTACAAGTGGGCGAGAGTTCTTCCTCTCGCTTGTACATTGGACGTCTAGACGCTCCGTGACCTGGATTCAAGCAACCACCTACACCTTCCGATGATTGTGATGAATAACGATTTGGAATTCGTTGTCCTGATGAATAATTCATCTGTATAATCAATTATGTCAGAGTATGCGAGTAGAAAATCGAATAAATTGAAATAATACAATATTATTCCAGTGTCTTCTTTGGTATGAAAAAAATTAATCTAGAATATAAGCATAGATTTAGACACATAAAAAAAATCATAAAAGTAAATTATTTTATTGAGAAGGATCAATGACCGTAATTATGGACCCGCAACTGGATTGAGAAGGAATACATATTTCTGTCCACAAAGGTATCTCTACGAACTGCCGGAAAATCAACGATCACATATATTCACTTCTGAGAGTTTTGTATTGAAAACAAGGAAAAAAGGACGAACTGTTTTAATACTTCATTTTCAAACTAAAAACGTCAGACGTTGTTAATATATCGATTTAAACGATGATATCACATATTATGGTCAGTTATACACATTGAGAATTTTAACATATTAGAAGAGTGAATCAAGGTGAAAAGTGGATTAAGCAAGGAAATAACGCAAAAGATTTTAATAATGAATCCAATTGATTCACCAAGAATTCCTATGCAGGACAAAAAATCTAACTTGAAGAATTCTGATAGACAACTGATCATATATTTAAGTACTTTTGATATCACTGCTCTCGGCTTTCATTAACATTTTAATTCGGAACTCGAGATCTCATACATGTTCACACTATTATTGTGCAATCTGACAGTTATCGATTGTGAGTGCCAATAGAATTTTCTTCATATTAAACAAATCTAACAGAAAATTCGCGAATGCAGACTGTCACCTGCTAA